ATGCAATGTGTGATGAATTTAATGCGTTGATCAAGAATAACACATGGGAATTAGTACCCCCCTCCCCCACCCAAAATGTGATATCTGGAAAATGGCTTTTTCAACATAAGTTTGGCCCCACAGGTGATCTGTCCAGGTACAAAGCTCGTTGGGTTATTCGAGGCTTCAACCAACGTTTCGGCGTCGACTATAGCAAAACGTTCAGCCCGGTCATCAAACCGGCCACCATCCGTATTGTCCTCAGTCTCGCCCTCTCTAAGGGCTGGCCCATACACCAGCTGGATGTCAAGAATGCTTTCCTCCATGGCCACCTACAGGAAACTGTTTATGCCCAGCAGCCTTCTGGTTTCGAGGATCCCTCACGACCATACCACGTTTGCAAACTCAAGAAGGCACTATATGGTTTGAAACAGGCACCCCGCTCTTGGTATTTACGATTCACAGGTTTTCTCCGACACATTGGTTTCCAAAGCTGCAAAACAGACACTTCTCTCTTTGTCTACATGCATGGGTCCCACATGGCATACTTACTCTTATATGTGGATGATATTGTTCTTACAGCATCGACTACTACACTTTTATCCCAGATCACGGAACGTCTGAAGGGGGAGTTTGCCATGACTGATATGGGGGAACTTAATTTCTTTCATGGCATTAATGTTCAACGTACCAAAGACGGCAACCTTTTCTTGCACCAGACGCAATTTGCTCAGGAAATCCTCAATAGGGCAGGTATGCTACACTGTAAGCCCATTTCTACACCGGTTGACTCCAAAGGGAAGTTATCAGCCACCTCTGGAGAACCCACCGCCGATGACTCTCTCTATCGTTCTCTTGTTGGTGCACTTCAGTATCTTACATTCACTCGACCAGATCTCACTTATGCCGTTCAGCAGCTATGTCTCTATCTTCACTCCCAACGCACGACACACCTTACGGCCCTAAAACGGGTCCTTCGCTATCTTCAAGGCACAGTCACTCATGGGATCACTCTTTCTCGCTCTCCATCGGATTTTCTACAGGCGTACTCTGATGCAGACTGGGCGGGGTGCCCGGATACGCGACGCTCTACTTCTGGTTATTGTGTGTTCTTAGGGGAAAACTTGATCTCATGGTCTTCTAAGCGGCAAGCCACTACTTCTCGATCTAGTGCTGAGGCAGAGTATAGGGCTGTTGCTAATGCGGTAGCTGAAACCAGCTGGATACGAAATCTTCTGCTTGAACTCCATCAGCCACTACACCGTGCCACTATTGTGTTCTGCGACAATGTAAGTGCCGTCTACTTGTCCTCGAACCCGGTACAACATCAACGAACTAAGCATGTTGAAGTAGATATTCACTTTGTTAGAGACAAAGTTGCATTAGGGCAAGTTCGAGTTCTCCATGTACCATCATCGTCCCAGTTCGCAGACATCTTCACCAAAGGACTCCCCTCACTGCTCTTCACTGATTTTCGACACAACCTTGGTGTTCGGAAATCACCGACGTAGTTGGTAGCATGTTAAATATGTTAAGATTATATTCCATATTTAATATGATTATTATATATATGGTAGATTCCATAATTGTGTATGATTCCATTTAATGTAATTTCCTTATACTACACCCTCCTACATGTATATAAGGGGAGGTAAATATTTTGTAATGATCATTGGAAATATACAATTCTTCAGGAACCTCCGTCCTAAGCAGCCACACAACGAGACCTACAATGCAGCAATGGGCACAACACTCATAGCAACGGTGGATGAGAAGGCCAGCACGGTAGCAGCGGGCGTTGTCGACTGAATTGAACAGCAGCCGCGGTCGAAGTCGAGGACGAAGCTTGGGATCGAGAACTAATATGGATCACACATTTTATTCTTGTAAAGAAATGAGATGGTTACTTTGGACAACCAAAAGAGAAAAAATGAAATGTTTATTTGAGACGAGGGGAGTATTTAATTTCTATAAAGTCAGGGGCCACAAGTATAAAGAGGGAGAAATTAATTAGTTTGCTTAAGGAGCGTAGCTCTTGGTCGAGAAGACAATGTCACACATGGACCATTCGTTTTTGTGAGTATATAGTAATGTTCCATATTTTGTGTGCATCTTTATCAAGAGTTTTTATTTTAGCAAAATTAGCTCTAAATAGATATAGTAATGCTTCATGCCAATGGACTCTTATAATGCTATATATGTGCTAATTAAACATTAGTTTTATACTATGTACTTAGCATATTATTTTTAAGGAAATTTACTTAAACAACAATAAAGCATACTGACTTTCCCTAACTAAATTTTGGGTCAAGGGTTAAAAAAAATAGCTACAGAGTACTTTTTCCGTCCTATAAAGATGTTCCCATTTTAATTTTTAGAAAATCTAAGGAAATGATAGTTTTGTGTTAATTTTCTCAAAATATCCTGATTGGTAGATTATTAGTTAAAAGATATGATGTGAATATGTGATAGGTAGGTTAAAAATTAATATGGGTAAGTGATTTTGTAATAAAAAATAGGAGTTTGTGGGACAAGAAAAAAGGGGAAAGAGTTTTCGGAAAGGATGAAGTATATCTCAAGTACATCGATCTCTAATTAAAATTTGATAATACCCTAATTAAAGTATGTTTTATTGTAAACAATTAGGGAGTAATTATTTATAAAATAAATTTTCACATCATCTATTAAAGAAATTTCATAATCAATAAATATTTGAAAAAAAAATTAATAATTCTTTTTATTTTACCTATAAAATATTTTTGGGGAAGCTGCATGGCTTTGGATTCCCGACCAATAGTGCCCAAGCTACCTAGATTTCTGAATTTGTTACTGGATAAACTGTGTTTAACTTCGTTCAACGACAATAATGTTTCCTCCGTCCAAAAAAAGACTCTCAATTTGACTTGACACAAAACTTAACTAAAGTAAAATTGTATGGTTCGAAGTGATACAGAAAAAATATAAATATTGTGAATGACTCAAAGTTTTCCATAAAACGAAATAAAATGCTATTTTAGGGCGTCTCGAAAAGAAAATATGAAGTCTTTTTATGTGACGGATGGAGTAACAAATCTCCTATATATGCATATGTTCTTTTATGTACTAGGGACAATTGGACAAACTTCTATCAATAAATCACAATTCAATTTCTTTCTTCTAAATGAAAAAAAAAACTAAAGTAAGCGTAAAACATTAAAAATATATTAAAATAAGAATTTTATATTTTAATTCTCAAATTGGAGTTAAAATGTATTTACAATGTCAATCATAACAATATTTTTTACCAAAAAGTACTGTGAAATTTTAATGTACAGTGTTACATTATTATAGTACAAACTCCTATTTTGGATATAAAACAAGGAGCTCCTATTTATATAATTTTTGTATATTTTATTCTTATTTAGAATAATTTGTTTTCTTCTAATTTATTGTCTGGTCAATACTAACTAGATCGGTCCGGAAATATGAAAAAAATGGGAAAATGCTAGGGGTACACCAAAAGTGTATCCTAAACATCCTCCACCCCCTCCATTAATTACCACAAATAAAATGAATGGTAGAAATGGAAAAAGTGTACATTTGGGGTACACCTTTGGTGTACCCCTAGCATATCCCAAAAAAATGAGATTGGCAATGTACAAAGGTTGCGTGTTGGAAATCCAGTTTTTTAAATTGGTAATCCAGTATTTGTCCACTTTTAACTTTTTCTGGTTAAAATTGGTAAACTTTGATTTCAAATTAAATAAAAATGATATTATATATTAATACAAAAAGATTTTTATTAGATTTATTATATTAAGTACTTTCAAAATATAATTTTATTTAATTAAAATACAATATATATTTTATTTAATTATAGATCAAAGATTGAAAATAGTTGACCGAAAAAAGTTAAAACTAGACAAATACTCAGGGAAGGAGGTAAGTATATTACTCCCTCCGTCCTAAAACTTTCTTCCCAGAGCACTATTCCAACTTCACAGAAATTTATATTTATTTATGTTTTTTCATGACCTATATGATAAAATAAAATATCCTTGTCACCACTTGTTTTGTTGAACTTTTGATGTAGTTTTTAAATATGTATGTTTTATTTTTTATTTCTATATCAATATTTAAATAAAATAGATTGGAAAAACTTGGGATTTTTCTTTATTTTACGCAACGGGAAAAAAACATAGGACGGAGGGAGTACAATAATTTGTTTATTTCAATACAAATTAAATTTTACGGAGTAGAAAATATGGAGTACTAAATTTTGGTGGCGACAGATAGATAGCCCAGTCCCAACGTGGCAACAGAGATTTTTTGGTCAATGTAGACCACCACCCCGCGTAGCAACCGCGTTACCGCGTTTGTCTCTTTGATAGCGATTGACTCTGAAATAAAGTGAGAGAGAGATGATTTCAAAAAAAAAAAGTGGGAAATAGAAGTAATAATAATGTAATGATAATTATAATAATTAAATGTTTAAGATAATAATACCCTTAATAAGAACAATTAAAAAATAGCAGTAAATAATTTTAAAAGATGATAAAGTTATTTAGAAATTACCTTAAATAGAAATAAAATATAGGAAAAAATACTAAAATAGAAGTTTTATGTTTTATTCTCGAAATAAGATTTTGCATTGTGGTGATGTGATTCTAATGTGGCACTGTACATGTGCACATTACTGTACTTTTTGGTAATGTATATGACTATGGTTGGTAATGTAAATATATTTTAACTCTTATTTCGCGAATAAAAATATAGAAGTCATATTTTGATATATTTTCAATGTTTAACTCTTATTTTAGTTTTTTCCACAAAATTATTAAAAAACATAAAGTTTAATTCGAATTAAATCAAATCAGTTTAGATTGATCCAATGAGAAGATTTAGATCAAATTAAAAAATATCATACCAAATTAGACTTTAATACATGGGAACCAATCAGACCAAGAGAATATACTCTAGGTGTTTACAACAAGAAAGAAGTTAATATGTTGCCTCTTATTTAATTGATTATTTAATACTCCGTATATGAATTGTATTAATTAATTTTACAAAAATATTCAAATTATTTAAAATGAAAATTACTTTCGGTAAATATCAAGAATAAATTAAACATTAGGGACGAAGGTTTCTAATGTTGATAATTGGACCATTAAAAGTTAAGTGCAATCTTTATGGATACGGAGTACTTGGTCCGTCCCTGAGTGTTTGTCCACTTTTGACTTTTGGAACTGTTCATCTAAGCACTTTGACTCATCAAATTCTCTCAATGTGTAAGCCTAAAAATAGTCATGTGTGATCTTGTTTGATTCGTATTAACATATAGATTATTAATTTATAATTTTTTAATATACAAATTACAAGATAAAATGGATTAAAAAAGTGTATTGGATGGTGTGTAAAAATGAAAGTGGACAAACACGGAGGGAGCAAAACTTTAAATATTGAACGCTAACAAGCTTTATAAATACACAGTATAAAACGGTAAACGAACCTCAGCCATTTTCTCAAGTCGCAATTCCCTCTTCTCCCTTCCTCCGACTCCCTTTCCTATCCACCACCGTTATCTCCGGCGATCGCCTCCGTTTTCCGCCTCTCCGTTGGTAATCTCTGCAGGGAGAAATGACGGACCAGCTCACCGGTGACCAGATCAGCGAGTTCAAGGAAGCCTTCAGCCTCTTCGACAAGGACGGCGATGGTCCGTTTCCCCTCTCCCGCTTTTTTATTCGTCTCATTTCCTTTCATATATCTGGTTTCTAGACGATTCCTCTGCTTCTTTTTTTTTTTCGCGTTTTCTGTTTGTTCGTCGCATGCGTGCTCAGATCTGGTTAATTTCGTTGTTGTTTTTTCGTGTTTTATCTTTGTGCTAGTAGTAGGTATCGCCTGATTTGATGTTTATGAGTATGCCTCGTATGTGGTTTCCAGAACAGAATCAGTTATCGTTAATATGAAATGTTAGCTTTCGCAGGCAAAAATGATCGAAGAAAACCTATGGATCTTGAATTTTATGCCCATCCTGTGTCAAGAAACCAACTCAACCAAAAGCTTAAGCTTGTGGTTGTGGCTCAAGAATGATTTTTATATACTCTAACACGCCCCCTCACGTGCAAGCGTGACTTCTTTGAGCCTTGCACGTGAAACCTTAATTTTTTTAACTGGGTGGCGGTGAGTTTCGAACTCGTGACCTCTTGGTCATCAAGGCTCTGATACCATGTCAAGAAACTAACTCAACCAAAAACTCAAGCTTGTGGTTGTGGCTCAAGAATAATTTTTATATACTCTAACATCCTGTAGTCTTAATTCTTTATCTGTAAGTATTTCTATATTTGTTGAGGTACGACTTTGGAAAACATTCAAATATAGTTACAACATCAAAAACAACTTTCCCACGAGAGTAGGGTCTGGAGTGTTTATTGGGAGACCTTGCCCATACATACTCGAAAGGGAGAGGTTGTTTTCAAGAGATCCCGGCTCAAGCAAACATTCAAATATAGTTATATTTTCAAATTTACGTACTGTAGTTTTGTTTGACATAAAAAAAAACATTTCTTGACCCATTTTATGTGACAAAAATATGGTCTCATTTATTCAGTTTACCTCCTTCATACCAGTGTGTGTGTTAAAACTCAAAACTTCTACCATATTTGATTATGTTATTGTAGTTCAAAATGGTCCCATTTTAGCATATTCATTATGAACCATACAATTCGACTTCTTAATTATTTGCATGTCACTTTGCCTTGTCCCAAGCTAAGTGGGACGAAGGTAGTATTATTTCCTTAATTGTGACAGAACAACCTCATTGAAAAAGCCATTACTTGTATATTTCTTCAAATGCTGTTCTGGAGCTGCCCTTTTCTATGTCATCAATACAAACTTCCTGTTATATACTGTCCGCGATTGATCCGGCTA